GTTTAATGACTCACTTTCTAAATTCTTATGTTGACCTTGTAAAGTCCACCAAAGTTAGAGCCCCATCTTCCTTCTTTTCTTCATTCATTTAAGAAATACTTATTGAGCATCTACCACATGCTAGGTACTATTTGTACAAAGCAATGGGGATGCAGCTGCGGAAAAACCAGACAAGGTTCCCAGCTTCAGGGAGCTGATGTCTGTTACAGGACAGACAGTAAAAAAGAATAAACAAATAGACAAATGATGCCAGGTGTTGACAAGTGCTACAAAGGAGATAAAATAGGAGGATGTGGCAGAGTGGACTGTTTAACTGCTTTAGCTGGTGTGTTCTGAAAAGCTTCTTTTAAAGGGAAACCTTTGAGCAGAGACCTGAATGAAGTAAAGGAGGTGCGCTATGTAGGTATTTGGGGGAAGAATGTTCATGTCAAGGAAACAGTAAATACAAAAGCCCCAAGGCAGAAGTGTATTTTGCAGAAGTGTACTGAAGAGCAGGAAGCCACGTGGCTGAAGTACATAATCCTGGGCAAGGGTGGTGGGAGAGGGGTCGGGGCAGGGTCAGATCATGTCAGCTTCCCAGCACCAGGTAAGGACTTTGGATTTCAGTCTAGGTGTGATGGTAGCCAGTGAAGGAGTGAGCCTTCTCTAAGGTTCACTTCCACTGCTGTGCACAGAACAGACTTGGGGTTGGGGTCAGGAGGACAAAGTAAGACCAGGGAGGCTAGTCAGCAGGCTACTCCATCACCCAGATGTAACACATGAGACTGGCGTGGACCAGGGTGATAGTGGGGGAAGAGACAAAAAATGGTCTGATTCATGTATGTATTTTAAGAGAAGATTTAGTGTAGATATGAATGGCTGATGTGAGAGGAGAAAGAAGTCAAGCACAATGCCAAAGTTTTAGGCCTGAGTTACTCAGACAGTGAAGACACCATTTACCGAAATGAGGAAGACAGGGAAGGGAGTAGGCTTGGACATCAGAGGGCTGCCATGAGGATGGCATTAGATTATACAAGTAAAGCCCATGGCAGAGACTCGCACACAGCCAGAGCTCAGAAAGTGATGGCTGTCCTTTTTCCCACTGTCACTGGTTCCTTCTCCTATAATTTAGATCTCTTCTTCCCTAAAATAATTTCTCATCAATAGGGAAAACTGGATGAGTACAGAGAACCCTGTCCTATCTTGCATATTTTCTATAAATCTGAAACAATTCTAAAATAAAAAGTTCATTTAAAAAAATTCTCAACACCATGTCCTCCTCTGTCTCCCACTCATTTCACAAAGAGACAGCCACCCTTTGTCACATCTCACTCGCTGATCACCAACTGCAATCTAAGTTCTGCTTGCCTCCCTCCCATCTCCTGAATTCCTCAGCACTCACCAATGACCTAACTGCCAAATCCAATGGACTTTCATTCTTTCCTTTCTCACAGCCTTCGACACCCTGGCCATTCCTTTCTTCCTGAAACTCTCTTTCCCTTGACTTGGAGACGCCACCTTCTCCTGGTTCTCCTCCTGCTTCTCCAGCTCCTCCCTCCCAGTCTCCTCTGCTGTGGTTTATTTACCTACCCACCCCTCAAATGCCAAGCCTCTATCCTTGGACCTCCTCTTCTCACACTATATATTTCTCTGGGTAACATCCACCTGGGCCATGGCTTCAACTACAATGAACTCCATGGCTACAACTACCAGAGGCCATTAATCTTCCACATGGCTACAGACATCTCTGAATCTGTTCACATACACGTGCTACAACAGAACCACACATACTCTTGAGCATGGAGAGTCAGAAGGCACAATGCTGCCCTGACCCAGAAAGTCCAAGGACCCCTGGGGTCTCTCTGGGCTCAGGCAAGGACCCTGATCTATCAAAACAAACGTGACTTCCACACATCTATGCTCAGCCCAGCTCTATCCCCAGGCCAATACTTCCACTGTCCACCTGACATCTCTACACCTGGCTGACCAATGGGTGCCTCAAACTATACATATCCCAAACACCTCACTTCTCTCTCCTCTTAGCTGCCACCTCCATCACCAGCCGCACTATTTCCCCCTCCTGCATTTCCATTCTCTCTTGGTAAAACAATCAACACCCAATCAATTCAGCCAGAAATCACCTGGGAGTCACCTCAGGCTCTCCCGAGCATCCAGCCAATCTCCAGGTCTACCTCTCAAACCTTTTGCAAAGTTGAATGCTCATTTCCTTTGCCCCCACTCTAACCTCATGCTTTTCTCCTCATTACCTCAATAGTCAGCCTTCTAATCGACCCTCCCCTTGGCCAGAGAGGTCTTTCTGAAATGCTCCCCCTGCCTTTAACCCCATGGGACACCTTCCATCCCCTACAGGAGGAAGGGCTCATGCTTTGACACAGCCAAACAGGGTACCCTCCAAAGAATGGGCACTGTCACCCTTACCATCCTCATCTCCTTCTGCCCTTCTCCTAAAGATACCTGAGCAATCTGCTACTCCTTGGGGTGCCTCATGCTGTTTCCTCCCTTCAAACCCCGGCACATGCAGGAGCACACCTTACTATAACACAAACCTACCCTGTCTCACGGGAACTCCTGTGTGTCTTGCAAAGTCAGCTGGGACAGTCCTACCTACCCAAAACCCCTTCCACACTATTCTGAACCTTATTACTATTCTTCCCTGGACAGTTGGAAGGGTTGTGATGATTTCCTCCCAAGTCTGTCTCCCTTTCTACATAGAGAATTCCTATAGGGTAAGGTCCACAGACTGCTCACCTAGAATCCTCAGCTGCTAAGCTTGGCACATAAAAGGTACCAAATAAATGTGTGCTGGATAAAGTGACCTGTTCCTGAACACACCTCGGATCCTCACCTCGGGGTCTTTACTCTGATAACTCCCTCTCCTTGGCACATCCACCTTTCCCTCTACCTTATTTTGTACTTAATTCCATCAAGAAGCAGGTTCAGACCCTCGAGTTCACCACATCACCAATGTTCCCACCTTGTGGTATCTGCACTTGCTGCTCTCCTTCTAGGAGTGCTCTTCCCCTAGATATACCCGTCTCTGATTTCAGTCAGGTCTCTGTTCAGATATCCTTGTCCTCTTTTTAAAAAACAGCCCTGACACTACATGCTATACCTGTGTGTTTACTGCTGGTGGTGTGCTCGACAGAAACAGCAGCTCAGTGATCACATGCCTCTCATTCACCACTCCATCCTCAAGCCTGGAATGGTGCCAGGAGCACGGATTTACTTCCTGTTTATTGAGCACCTACTGTATGCCAGGTCTAGGTGCTGGGGATACATTAGGGAACAAAACAGATAAAAATCCTCCCTTCACCTTCTAGAGGAGGAAAACAAGCAATACACAAGCTAAATAAGTAAAATATAAGAACAACAACTAAAGTGATAAAGGAAGATAGGAAGTGGAGGAAGCCTCACCAGGCGACCCTTGAATAAAAACTTGAAAGTGAGCAGATCATATGAATATTGAACCGCAAGCACAAGGGTCCTGAGACTAAAGTATGTCCGCCACGTGGAAGGGGAGGGTACCAGAAAATAAAAGTGGGAAAGTAAGAGGGGGTCACATTATGCAAAGCCTTATAGCTCACTGTAAGGAGTTCATCTCTAAAAGAAATGGGGACCCAGTAGAGGGTTTTTTAAGTAAACGAGTGACATAATCTGACTTGTGTTTGAAAAGGATCCTTCTAGCTGCTGTGCTGAAAACAGGGGCCAGGGCAGAAGCCAGGAGACCAGATGGGAGACTATTTCAATAATCCAGGTGAGAGGTGTTGATGATTTGGCCTAGGGTGTCAAGCAATGAATGTGGAGTAAGAAAGAAAGTAGTCAAGGATGACTCAAAGGTTATTGGTCAGAGCCTTTTACATCACTGAGAAGAGGGGGAAAAATACAGCAAGAAGAGAAGTCTGGGAAGAGAGGCGGAGGGGAGCTTGCTAGCCCTATCTTGACATGTTCAGTTTGAGCTCCCAACCAACAATCTTAGTGGAGATATTAAGTAGGCAGCTGGATATAGGTCAAGAAAGAAGCCCAGGCTGGAGATATAAATGTGGGATCTGTTAGCCTAATTTACAGATATTTAGAACTATGGGCCTTGAGTGGGATCACCATAAATAAAAAATGAAAATGTCTCAAACACAAATGCACGAAGAACAGGTGAAAGAAAGAAAGAAACTACCATGCCCAAGGACACCCTCTCACGTTCCCCCAAGAGAACAGAAACGTGACCCTTACTCACGCTGAAAGACATTTCGGTAAAAAACAAAACAAAAGCAAAAATCCTCCTCACACCTGACAAGAGGAGCAAATCCCGACCAGCGTCTGTCAATGGGTCATCCAACCTTTGGAAAAAGACCTCTGTGGTAGGCCTCGTAATTTTTAAAAAAGAGACCCAGTAAACGTAAGCACTGCCTTTGCAGAGGATGGGGTGTTGTGAGCGCAGAGAAAGTGCAGGCCATCTCCAGGTTCTAATCACTAGCATTTCCCTGGGTGGGAAGGAGCAGTCCCCTGGATGCAGAGGAGATAGGCCAAGGCTCACAAGATCGTCACCCTCGCCCCCAAGACCCCTTTCCTCGGAGGGCAACGTCTCCCGACAGGGTGTATGCTGAGGGGCGCGCGAGTTGGAAGGGCGCGGTCAAGGAGGTGATCAAGCGGATTGCGGTGGTGGGGAGGGGTGGCCGATCCAGCATAGGGTGGGCTCCCGGGGCAGCGGTGGGCGTGGTGCACCAAGGCAGAGCGCTGTAGTGGGGGAGGAGGGCATTCGGAAGGCCGTGGCTCCGTATTCAGAAAGAGGACAGAGAGCAGGCACTCCCCTACCGCAGCTCTACGCTATAATAGTGGGCGGTTCGGCAGGGCGCTGTCGCCGGCGTCAGGCATGCCGGCTGCCATGAGGCGAACGGGAAGTGTGAGCAGCACGGCTCCGAGCTGGGGACCGCACCCCGCCCAGCCACGGGGCCCTGGGTTCAAGGACATGACCTGAGCAGGAAGGACGCGGCCTCAGACACCCTTACCTGGCGCTGCAGCCGTGTCGCCGCTCAGGTCCCGGCTGAAGAACGCGGCCGCCGCTTCTCGCGCCGCTCGCCCGCGCCTCCTGATTGGCCAAGGCCGGCTTTCCCAGAAGGCCCCGCGCGGCGCGCCGCCAAATGAACTTTATGGAGACCCGTGGAGGAGGACACGGACACCGGCGGGATTGGGGGCGGGGCTTTGGGCTGAGTTGTCACTCCCTGCACGCCCGCGACCACCGCCCTACCACCGCCCTCACCCCTCCCACGTGGTTAGAGCCGGCACTGGCCTGAGAAAGCGATTCCGTAATTCCTGCGCGGACTTCTTACCCTTTACTGAGCGCCATCCGAGTGCCACACTATTCTAGGTACTGGGGGCAAAGTGGCGACCACGACAGACAATATATCCCTCCCCTAATGGAGTTCTCAGTGGGAGAAACAAAAAATAACAAATCACTGTCAGTTTGTCAGGAAGGTAATGATGAAAATGGCAGGGTGATGGGGGAGAGAACGCCTGTGTGGTCAGGGAAGGCCTCTGAGGAGGTGACGGCTGAGCTGAAACATGAATGATGAGAAAGTGTCAGCCTTGCATAGTCTTGGCTGCAGAACATTCCAAGTAGAGGGAACAAAACTGAAGACTCCAGGGGAAACAAGCCTGGTATTTGAAGAATAGAAAGAAGGGGAGTATGACTGGCAGAAGATGATTGAGGACAGGTGGGGTAAGACTCACAGTTGGCTGGGGCCAGACTTTGCAGGTCCTGTGGGCCATGGCAAGAAAGTTGAAGTTATTCCTCATACAAATGGAAGCCGCTGGAGGGTTTGAAGCAGGGTTGTGACATGAGCTTGCTTACCTTTGTAGATGATCCCTCTTGCCCTCTGGGTGGAGAATGGCCAGTAGGCAGCAGGAAGGAGCAAGAAGACTACTGCTTTGTCCAGCACATAAGGATTGTAGCAATGCCCACTTGTGCAACATACATTAGTGATCCCTATGTGCCCCAAATGAATAAGGCCCAGTCCTTATGATCTGCTGAGAAAGCAGGTCCATAAAGAGTGCATTTCAATTTAATGTGCGAAGTGCATGACAGAACTATGTAAGGATGGTAAGGGAGTTTAACCCATTCTGGGGAGTTGAAACTCAAGGAGGCCTTCACAGGGGAAGTGTCACATTAACTGAGCCATTAGGATGAGTAGGGCTTAGACTGGCAAAGAGCGAAGGGAGGTTTTTTCCTGGCATAGGGAAGTGGAGTAAGCAAAGGTAGAGAGGAGAGAAATAGTGCTCTCTCCACTCTCACTACTACTTTTGCTGGAGCAGTCATGGAGGACCTCTCTGAGGAGATGGCATTTGAGCAGAGAACTGAATCTTTGAAGAAGCAGCCATGTGGAGACAAGATCAGCAAGTGTCATGGTTTCTGGGACAGATGGGATTTCAAAGCACACTCTCTACTTCCACCAAAATAAAACAATTACACCCAAAACAACAAAACTCCAAGCCCAAATGGCTTGATTGGTGAACTGTTTCAAATATTTAAGGACAAAGAGGAAGTGTATAGCTCAGTGGTAGAGTGCATGCCTAGCATGCATAAGATCCTGGGTTCAATCCCCGGTACCTCCAAGAAAAAAAAATAATAAACCTAATTACTGCCCCCTCAGAAAACAAACTACAAATATTTAAGGGCAAAATAACACTAATCTGCCACAAACTCAGAGAACAGAAAAAATGTGAACACTTTCCAGATTGTTAGATGAGACCTTTATAACCTTGAATCCAAAACCTGGCAGAACCTTACAAGAAAAGAAATAGGACAACAACTCTAGTAAACATAAGACAAAGATGACAAGAGACAAAAAAGGACATTATATATTAATAAAAGTTTCAATATACAAGAATATATAACAATTATAAACATTTGCATACCTAATAACAGACCAGAGAAATATATGAAACAAAAACTGACCATATGAAGGGAGAAATAAATAGCTCTACAATAATAGTCAAAGACTTCAATACCCTACTCTCAATAAAGGATAGAATAACCAGACAGAAATTAAGTAAGGAAATAGAGGACTTAATCCGTAGACCAACTAGATACGACATACAGAACAACAGCAGAATACACATTCTTCTCCTGTATCCATGAGATATTTCCTAGGATAGACCATATATTAGACCACAGATTTAAGTCTCAATAGATTTTAAAAGACAGATATCATACAAATTATCTTCTTCAGCTACAGCAGGATGAAATTACAAATCAACAGAAGTAAAACTGGAAAATTTTTTAATTTGTGGAAATTAAACAATATACTCTTGAACAACTAATGATCAAAGAAGAAATTACAAGAGAAATTTAAAAATACTTGAATTTTCTAGAGATGAATGAAAATGAACACACAACATAGCAAAACTTCGGGATGTAGTAAAAGAAGTAAGGGGGAAATTTATAGCTATAAACACTTATATTTAAAAAACAAGTAAGATTTCAAACCAACAACTTAACTATACACTTTAAGGAACTAGAACAAGAACCAAAAAATAGCAGAAGGAAGGAAATGATAAATATTAGAGCTGAGATCAATGAAACAAAGAATAGAAAAAATTAATGAAACCAGAAGCTGGTTCTTTGAAAAGATCAACAAAATGGACAAAACTATAGCTACTATATGTAGCTATATATACTAAGAAAAAATGAGAGAAATTTCAAATTACCAAAATCAAATATGAAAGTGAGGACATTATTATTCTACAGAAATAAGGATGATATGAACACTATGAACAACTGTACCCCAATAAAGTGGATAACCTAGATGAAATGGACAAATTCCTAGAAATACCAAGACTAAATCAAGAAAAAATTAAAAATCTGAGTTGACCTATAATTACTAAGGAGATTAAATAAGTCTTCAAAATTCTCTCAATAAACACCTTGGATCCAATGACTTCACTGGTGAATTCTACCAAACATTTAAAGAACTATTACCAATCTTTCTCAAACTATTCCAAAAAACTGGAGGAGAGAGAACACCTCCTGACTCATTTTATGAGACCAGTATTACTCTGATACCAAAGCCAGTCAAAGATACCACAAGTAAAAATTCTCAACAAAATACTAGTAAACCAATTTCAGCAGCATATTAAAAGGATAATACACCATGACCAAGTATGATTTATTCCTAGAATGAAACATGGTTCAATATATGAAAATCAGTTAATGTAATATACTACATTAACAGAATGAAGGAGAAAAATCACATGATCATCTCAATTGATGCATAAAATATATTCAACAAAATTCAACACCCTTTCATCATAAAAATCATTTGGCAAACCAGGAACAGAAGGAAAGTACTTTAACATAATAAAAGCCATATATGAAAACCCCACAGTAAACAGCATACTCAGTGGTGAAGAGCTGAAAGCTTCTCCTTTAAGATCAGGAACAAGGAAGGCAGAGATGCTTGCTTTTGCCACTTCTATTCCACATAGTACTGGAAGTTCTAGCCAGAGCAAGAAAAATAAAGATAAGGCATCCAAATCAAAAAGAAGGAAGTAAAATTATCTCTGTTCACAGATGATAGGATCTTATATGCGGAAAACCCTAAAGATTCCACATACACACACAAACTGTTGGAATAAACAAATGAATTCAGCAAAGTAGCAGGATAAAAAGTCAACACAGAAACCAGTCACATATCTATACACTAACAATGAAAAATCTGAAAACTACAAAAATAATTCCATTTACAATAGCATCAAAAATCATTTAGAAATTAACTTAACCAAGAAGGTGAAAAACTTGCACAGTGAAAACTACACAATATTGCTGAAACAAATTAAAGAAGACATAAGTAAAAGGAATCAAACTCATGTTCATGGACTGGAAGACTTAATATTGTTAAGATGTCAGTATTACTCAAAGAGATCTACTGATTCAGTGCAATCCCTATAAAAATTCCTATGACATTTTTTGCTGAAGTAGAAAAACTTATCCTTTATGGAGTTTCCTTAAAAACTAAAAACACAATTTTCACATGATCCAGCAATTCCATTTCTGGGTATATACTCCAGAGAATTGAAAGCAGGTCTCAAAGTGACATTTGTACACCCGTGTTCATAGCATTATTCACAATATCCAAACTGTGGAAGCAACCCAAGTGTTCAATTATGGATGAATGGGTAAGCAAATGTATATATTAACAATGGAATATTATTCAGCCTTTAAAAAGGAAGGAAATTAAGATATATGCTATAACATGGATGAACCTTGAGGACATTATACTAAATGAAATAAGCCAGTAACAAAAGATAAATACTGTATAATTCCACTTATTCTTAGAGTACCCAAATTAATAGAGATATAAAGCAAAATTGTAGTTGCCAGGAGCTGGGGAGTGGGGGTGGGAATGGGGTTTTTGTTTAATAGGTACAGAACTTCAGTTTTACAAGGTGAAAAGAGTTTTGGAGGTGGATGGTAGGGATGGTTGCACATTATGAAATTATTTAATACCACTGAACTATACACTTGAAAATGGTTAAGATGGTTAGTTTTATGCTGTGTATATTTTACCACAATTTTTAAAAATGTTTTTAAGGTTGTGGAGCAACTGAGACCATCATATACTGCACAGTAGTTGTAAATAGGAACACTCACTTTGAAAAACTGGCAAAATATATTAAAGCTAAATACACACATACTCTGTGATTCAACAATTCTATGTATGTATGTGTGTTTTATATATTGTCTATCTTTTTATCTCCAGCATAAATGTATACATATTTTCACCAAAGCCATGCACAACAGTGTTCATAGCACCATTATCTGTATTAACCCAAAACTGGAAACTACTCAAATGTCCATTAACAGAAGAATCGATGAATAAATTTGGTGCTGTCATATAACAAAATACTGCAGTAACTAAAAGAAGGAACTACATCCACATGTAACAACATGAATGAATTTCACAGACATAATAGAAAGCAAAAGAAGCCACAGCCAAACGTATGACTCCACTTATATAAAGTTGAAATCAGACAAAACTAATCTATGGTGACAGTTGTCAGAGCAGTGATTATTTTGAAGGGAGGAAGGGTTGTCAACTAGACAGGGAAATGAGACAATC